AAATGCACAGTATATTTACACATTATGACATGCCCATCTCTGAATGTACACTCATCCAGCGATATAAGATTTAAGTTCCCTGCATCCACTCCATCCCTGCTAGTGTCATGTCCCTTTTCATCTTCATTCAGGTCCTTTTTTTTTATCCATTGGGCAGACACTGATGGTGAAACAACCATTCATAGGTGCTGTAGGTACATTATTTTGGCTCCCATCTCCAATATGGCATCTGTAAGATTCTGGGACTATATATGTATTACACAATAGCTGCAATCAGTGTGCAGATTCTAAAACCAAAAGAGGTAGTATGCATTATTTTATATTTACCTGCAGTAAAAAATAAAAAAAATTACAAAATCGGTATCCCTAAACATATTAAATAAATGCAATCCCTTTAAAGAGCCAGAATTGTTTCCAAACACACAAGTTCTTTAGCTAAGTATTTTTTTTAGAAAGTAACAGCAGCTTTTACAGTGGAAAAAGTGGTTGAACAAAAAGGGAGATCCCAAAAAAAAATTATATATACAGTTTTCTTACTTACAGTGAAGTCGCACGATTTCAAAATTCGGGTGACCTGCCGATTTTGTTGCGATTTGCAAGATATCTGACACAGATGTCTGTGTAAAACACAACAAAAATAGTGCAGGCACTACTTTAGAAATCGATGTGGCTCTGACCAAGTTGGAACTGCACCGATATGACCGCTCTAATAGCGGACAAAAGGTGCGACTTGGCATACGATTAGCAAGTCGCATGGCCTGCAAATCGCATGCCAAGTCGCACCCGATGTGACCAGGAGCTTAAAGAGGAATTGTAGTCTGAAGAGTGGTGTTACTTAACCCTCCTACAGAACTGATAGATGTGTTTCTTACTGACGCTGCTCAATTTTCTCTACTGCTCCTTGCTTCTCCTCTGCTTGTTCAACATCTTCTCTCTTCAGCCATTGGGCAGCCACTGATGATGTAAAATTGTTAATTAACAGTGCAGCCAGTCTGATGACCTCATTTTTCTCTACTGCAGGAAAGCAACACAGTTATGTCCCTTTCCTGCCCCCATTCTCTAACTGAACACTTTTCATAGAGCTCCCTCACTGGCTTCTGACATCCTTGGCTGGTTATCCTCTGAGTTTTGATCTTTGACCATTTTGACTGTCTGGGCAAAGAAGGCATTACTCCCAACCTCACTCCTAAGCATGCACAGGAGTTTATTTGCCTTGTCAAATGCAAAAATTGTACATTCAGCAGTGCATACACAGCGCAGTGCAGTGCGGACAAGCATGTAGGAAACTTTAATGCAAGAGATATAAAAAAAATGATTGTTCACACATTTCCCATCCACCCTATAGCAGAAATACTGCTACAGCGAGGCACGGGTGTGCAAAATCACATATATATATGTGATTTTACAGTTCCAGGTAGGGGGTGCGCGCATGCCCTATCCACGCCGCCATTAGTGGCCTCAGCAGTCAATCAATGAGTCCCTGCTGGTGATTATTCGCCGGCACCTGGTTATCACCAAGTATTACCAACAGGAGAGAACTATATTTGAACTATACAGTTCTCTCCCCTGTCAGCTCCTGCAGACACAATGATACAAAGATACAAGCAGTAAGCAGTGTGCTTACAGTTGAAAGCACACAACACACAATGTGAAACAGCACACAGTTAACCCTTTGATCGCCCCACATGTTAACCCCTTCCTGCTCAGTGTCATTAGTACAGTGTCAGTGCTTTTTATTAGCACTTATCACTGTATTGGTGTCACTGGAGATGTTAATGACACCAAGTCAGTTTCCCCAGTGTCAGAATGCCCGCTGCAGTCCCGCAATCCCATAATAAATCACTGATCACCACCATTACCAGTAAACACTATTACTTTCACATAAACCAATTAATTTACATGTATTGGAATTTTTTTTAGCAAAGACATGTAGCAGAATACATTTTGCCATAAATGTATGATGAAATTTGATTTTTTTGATTTTTTTATTGAACATGTTTAATAGCAAGTCAAAAACATTGTTTTTTTGTCAAAATTGTCGGTCTTTTTTTTATAGCAAAAATATTTACAACAAACAAGTGATAAAATACCACCAAAAGAAAGCTCTATTTGTGGGAAAAAAGGATGTAAATGTAATTTGGGTGCAGAGTTGCAGGACTGCGCAATTGTCTGTTAACCACTTGCCCTCCTGAGGATTTACCCCCCTTAATGACCAGGCCTCTTTTTGCTACTCTGCGCTGCACTAATTCAACTGATAATTGCGCAGTCATGCAAAGCTGCACCCAAACGAAATGTACGTCCTTTTTTTCACACAAATAGAGCTTTCTTTTGGTGGTATTTGATCACCTGTGCGCTTTTTTTTTTCACGCTATAAACAAAAAAAGACCCAAAATTTGGAAGAAAAACGATATTTTTTACTTTCAGCTATAAAAAATATATAGTAAACTCAGAGTTGGTTATAAATTTAGGCCAAAATGTATTCTGCTACATGTTTTTGGTTAAAAAATCCCAATAAGTGTATATTGATTACTTTGTGTGAAAGTTATAGCGTCTACAAGCTATGGTATAGATACTGCAGTTTACGCCATTTTTTTGCTATACATCACTGCGCTAGTTTAACGGACAATTGCGCAGTCATGCAATATGGTACATAAATGAAATTTATGTCCTTTTTTACACACAAATAGAGCTTTCTTTCGGTGGGATTTGATCGCCTGTGCGTTTTTTATTTTTTGCGCTATAAAAAAAAGTCTGACAATTTTGAGAAAAAAAAACAATATTTTGGACTTTTTGCGATAAAACATGTCCAGTAAAAAAAAAGTTTAAAAATCAAATTTCATCGTAAATTTCAGCCAAAATGCATTCTGCAACATGTCTTTGCTAAAAAAAAAACCAATACGTGTAAATTAATTGGTTTACGTGAAAGTTATAGCGTTTACAAATGGCGGGAAAGATACTGGGATTTTTAATTTTTTTTATACTAATAATGGCGGCGATCAGCGACTTATGGCGGCGATCAGAGACTTATGGCGGGACTGCGGTGGACATTCTGACACTGGGGGGGAACTGACTTGGGGTCACTGACATCCCCAGTGACACCAATACAGTGATCAGTGCAAAAAAAAAACCACTGACACTGTACTAATGGCACTGGGGAGGAAGGGGTTAACTTTTTTATTCACTGAAAGGGTTAACTGTGTGAGGGGAGTGTTTTACTAGGGGGCGGGGGTGTGTACTGCACGGGGACACGCTGATCAGGAGAGATAAACTCTTCTCTCCTGATCAGCATGTCAGGAGCTGTCAGGGAACTGACAGAAAGCAGATCTACTGCAGCCCTGCTCTCTGTCAGTGACTGCCGCTAATCGGCGGGACACAGCCGGTAATGACCAGCCGTGACCCGGCGACTGACACCCACTGGATCGGCGGTGCAGGTAGGGCAGCAGTGTGCCTCGTGAGCACCCCCTACCTGTTTTGCAAAAGAGCGTTTTAAAACGTGCTTTTGCCCAGCCGTGCCGCCCTGCCGCCGTATTTCTATAGTGGCTGGGCGGCAAGTGGTTAAAGTAACGCAGCACCACAAAGCAAAAAATGGCCTGGTCAGGAAGGGGGGGGTAAATCCTCTGGAGGGCAAGTGGTTAAGGAGCCCCAACTGACTGATGAGTTTATCACTCTGCTCTCTCCATGATCAACATATTATTTTGCCAGAATGTGTTCATGCAGCACAACCCTCCCTCTCACAGAGTGCTGCTGTACAGGGAATTACAATAAAGGTGCAAGCAAAATTCAGTCAATTAAAAAACTTTCAATAAGTAAATATCTGTTTTTTTATTATTTTTTTTCTGTCTGAAGTTCACCTTTAACTGAATGCTGCTGTTCACATGATCAGACTATTGAATAAGTGTTTGAGCCCAACTGATGTTGAAGTTGTTGTTTTGCCCAGCTCTGTAGAATGATTTTAAATGATCTGCTGGAATCCTAAAGGTGACATATGATGGAACCGTGCATTTCTACTGTTGAACATAGTTTAATATGCAGTGACCATCTCATTGACTTTGACTCATTACAGAGTAGTAGAATTTGCTTACCTGCCATGTTCCATAGATAGGCATGATGGAAGGAAGGATTTTTGCCTATTTCTTTTAAAGATGAGGCTTGCAATAGGAAAGAGAAAATGGTAAACTACAGTCAAGGTGCTGGATTCCTAATCAGGAAAAACAGTTTGCATGTGTATTGAGGAAATATGTCTGCCTCCATGTACCGTATATTAAAAAATGAACTGTTCCTATGTAGCAGTTAAGAGCGAATATTCTTTGGTTTGATTTTCAGACTGTTCATTGAACATATTGTAAATTTTATAAATTGCAAACCTAAATTCAATGGAGTGCAAATCTTGAAAATCACTTCTGACCATTTTCAAGACTAATGGGAAAGGGTTTGTCAAACAAAGTCCATTGAGGAGTCGGGCACTAGACATGTGCAGTTCATTTCATTTTGATAAATTTTTCAGCCCAAAATATTATTTTAGGCATTTCCAAATGGGCATAGAAACGAATGACAATGAATCACAAAAAAAGTTTGAACAAAAATACTGAATGCGTTTGTTTCATTGAGGTTACTCTTCAAATTCATTCAATAACATAACAAATGATCCAAATTCACTGTGAATAGCTGGTTGTTAACCACTAGCCTACAGGGCACTTATACCTCCTTCCTGCCCAGGCCAATTTCCAGCTTTCATTGCTGTCACATTTGAATGACAATTGTGCGGTCATGCAACATTGTACCCATATGAAATTTTTATCATTTTTTTGAGACAGATAGAACTTTCTTTTGGTGGTATTTAATCACCTCTGGGATTTTTATTTTTTCTTAAACAAACCAAAAACCACTGTAAATTTTGAAAAAAAAAAAACGTTTTTTCTTAGTTTTTGTTATACAATTTTGTAAATAAGTGATTTTTCTCCTTCACTGATGTGCGCTAATGAGGCCGCAGTGATGGGCACTGATAGGCTGCACTGATGGACACTGATAGGTGGCACTGATGGGCACTGATGAGGAGGCACTGGTAGGTTGCACTGATGGGCATTGACAGGCATCACTGATGGGCACTGAAAGGCAGCACTGATACATGACACTGATACATGACTCTGGTATATGGCACTGATAGGCAGCACTGACTGGCACTTATAGGCGGCACTGACTGGCACTGTTAGGCAGCACTGACTGGCACTGATAGGTGGCACTGACTGGCACTGATAGGTGACACTGGGTGGCACTGATTGGCAGCACTGATAGGTGGCACTGATTGGCATTGATAGGTGGCACTAACTGGCACTGATGGGTGACATTGAAAGACAGCTCAGATGGGCACTGATAGGTGGAATTGATGTGCACTGGTATGCACTGATATGTGGCATTGATGTGGCACTGATGGGCACTGGCACGTGGCACTGATGGGCACTGGCACTGATGATCAGACAGGTGGCACTTCTGGGCCCACACTGATCATCAGGGCACACTGATCATCAGTGCCCTGATGATCATTGTACATGTCCGCTCTGTGGAAAGCCGATTACCGGCTCTCCTCTCTTCTCGAGCTGTCAGCGTGACAGCTCGAGAGGAGAGAAATGCCGATAACCAGCATTTCCATGTTTACATGTGATCAGCTGTGATTGGACACAGCTGATCACATGACCGAGCTGACATTTTCGGCTCTTTCCATGATCCGCCGGTCCGAGGGACACAGCGGACCGGCGATCGCCGCGCTGCGAGCTCCCTGAGCCGCGCATGCACAGTGAGAATGGTAGGACGCCATATGACGTCCTATCAGAATGAGAGAACCACCTTGCGCCCATCATTGTACTATAGGGTGGGCGGAAGGTGGTTAAGGAGTTGGCAACTGGCCTTTCCTTAACATCCATGACTCATCTGCTGTCAGCGGGATTCCTCTCTGACAGCAGAATGTAAACAAAACAAGCGCTGGCAATAATTTTTTTAAATAGAGCAGGGTCCCCTTTCAAAATTCATACCAGACTTTTAGTCCTAGAAGGTTAAGTATGGATTTTAAAGGGGAATCCCATACCAAAATCCATACCAGACTCTTATCCAAGCATGCAGCCACATGCCCTCAACATAAGGAGGGTGCTTTGGGGGAGGGAGGCTCCACCAAAGCACCTTGTCCCTATGTTGATGAAGACAAGGGTCTCTTCCCCACAACTTTTGGCAGTGGTTGTGGGGGTGCAGAGGATGACTTATCAGAATCTTAAGCCCCCCTAAGGCCCCCCATGTGAATGAGCAGGGGTACATAGTACCCCTACTCATTCACCAAAAAAATACCAAAAGTAAATAAAAATACAAAGTGTTTGACAGGTCCGTTATTAACCACTATTTATCCCCATCATGACCAGGCCATTTTTTTAACATTTTTTTCACACAAATAGGGCTTTCTTTTGGTGATATTTCATAACCACTTGTTTTTCTTTTTACAAAAAAAAAAGACTGATAATTTTGAAAAAAAAAGCAATATTTTCTACTTTCTGTTATACAAAATATCCAATAAACTCAAATCTCATCATAAATTTAGGCCAAAATGTATTCTGCTACATGTCTTTAGTAAAAATAAAATCCCAAGTGTATATTAATTGGTTTGTGTGAAAGTTATAGCGTCAACAAACTATGATATAGATACTGAAATTTGTGCTTTTACTTTCTTACTACTCACTGCTTACATCTCACATTACATGAGGTGCTAAAATGCCAGGGCAGTACAAACACCCCCAAATGACCCCTTTTAGGAAAGTAGACATCCTAAGCTATTTGCTGAGAGGCATGTTGAGTCTATTGAAGTTTTATTTATTTCCACACGTTTTTGGAATATTAACTTATTATTATTATTATTATACAGTATTTATATAGCGCCCAAAGGTTTGCTCAGCGCTGTATATTATAGTGGGGGACAGTACATGAGACAGTACACTAACAAAACAATACACGAGGTTCGAGGGCCCTGCTCTTTCGAGCTTACAATCTAGGAGATAATGTATTGCCCACACATGCCATGGGCATATGTGGAATTACACCCCAAAATGTATTCTGCTACTTCTCCCAAGTATGGGGATACCACATGTGTGAGACTTGTTGGGAACCCAAAATTCAACGACTCCTTTGAAAGCCTGAAGGTGTGTCATTTCCTCATTTAATTTCCTCACTACCTATCACAGTTTCAGAGGCTCTGAAATGCCAGGATGGCACATCCCCCCTTCCCAAATTACCCCTTTTTGGAAAGTAGACACCCCAAACTATTTGCTAGGAGGCATGTTGAGTCAATGGAAGATTTTATTTTTTACCACTTTTTGAAAAATGACCAAAAAAAAGTTTTTTTACACAAAGTTGTCACTTCAATGATATATTGCTCACACATGCTTCCTCACTACCTATCACAGTTTCAGAGGCCATGAAATGCCAAGATATCACAACCCCCCCCCTCCCCTCAAATGACCCCATTTTGGAAACTAAACACCCCAAGGAATTTAATAAGAGGCATGGGGAGTATTTTGCAGATCTAATTTTTTGTCACAAAGTTTTGGAAAATTACAGGTACTCTTTTCTTTTCCAATAATTTTTATTGGTTTTGTCAAAAGAAAATTTTACAGAGAAGTACAAACAGGTTTAGCATCTATTTCTTGGTTACCTGTGACCTACCATAATGGTTACAAATAGGTTGCAGGAAACAACAAACAGTCTGGACTAACCATCAATTATTTGATCAATTAACAAAACTAGGTCCCATATGGGACTGAAGGATACCAAGAACTGCACTGTAGAATCATCAAGATGATAAGAGTTTATCAAGACGCCATATTTTATTATTAGCTATGGCCTGTATGGCTCCTTGGACTCCCACCAACTCCCTTTCCAGGTTAGAAGGAGGTGAGGTCCCTCAGGACCAAAAGCTATCTGAATGTTTGCTAAGCATATAGAAGAAGAAGGAGAACAGAAAAGAGGGGAGGGATCAGTTTAAGGGGGGAAGAAAGGGGGAGAAGCAGAGTTTAAGGTGTGCCCCCTCTATCTACTTTACACATATCCCTCCATCCCTATCAGGAGAGTCCTGAGAGATATTTCCAGGGGTCCCACATTTTATAGAAATAGGTTATGCATTCATTGACCATTATCCATGTTAGTTTGGCCTTTAGGAGTTCAAAGGGGACCGCAGGGGATTTCCAGACCTGAGCAATGGAAATTCTGGCAGCTGTAAATATAAAAGCAATCAAGCATCTTATATATACCAGTATTCCCTCCACCGGCCTCCCTAAGAGGGCCTGCTGTGGAGTCTTTACTTTGCAACATGGTCACCAGGTGTGGAGGACTGTTCCTCCCTGTCCACAACCATGGAAGCATCTGGGAGAGGTCCCATGGAGAATAGATGCCAAATGGACTGGTACTAAATACCACCGTAGAAAAACTTTGTAGCTTGTCTCAGTGATGTATTGATATATGATTTTGAATTGAGTTTCACCGGTTTACCCCATTCCCCTGCTTCCAATACTTCCCCCAGGTCCTGTTCCCATCTTTCCATATAGGGTAATTTAGTGGGGTCCTCATGCAGTATAGTAAATATCTTGGATATATGTCCAGTATGTTTGTCCAAAGTCCTACATAAGTACCCCATTGGAGTTGAGGAATTCAAGTAACTGGTGCGCTTAAGTGTTTAAGAGGTGTGTTTTTTGTGAGTATCTCCCTAGTGGGGAGGTGGTACTACTCCTGTAGTTCTCCCTTTGATATTGATCCCCTATGATCGCAGAGGTCTTTATTAGTCTACCACTCAAAGGTGGAGGGACTGAGATCCAAGGTGGAGGGAACACTGAGTTACCCAATAAAAGGCTAATGGAGTGTGGGGGGTTTTAAACCCATATCTTTTCGCTAGACTATCCCATAGACCAAGGGAGAAAAATAGTATATAGCATAGAATTCCAGGTCTGTCCCTGGCTTTCAGCCACATTATGTGGCTAATTGGGGTGGAAGGGAGGTGGGTTGATTCTAGCTGCATCCACAGAGGGTGTGCATGTTGGGAATGAAAACATCAATGGAGCTAGTTGTGAAGTGTAAAAATATTTAAACATATCTGGAACTCCCAATCCTTCCTTCAATTTTGGGGTGAAAAGTGTACATCTGTTCACTCTGGGTCTCTTGTCCTCCCAAATAAATTTTAATACCTTTTGTTGGAAAAGACGTAAAACTGATTATTTATTTATTTATTTATTATTATAGAGTGTGGAAGAAATATAAATTCTAGGCAGAATATTAATTTTTACCGCGTACAGCATACTGAAGCAAGAGGGGGGTTAAGAGTTAATTTATAAAGGTCATTCTGTAACTTCTTAGATAGGGGAGTGTAATTCTTACAATATAGACTATCTATGTAAGACGTTAAAAAGATTCCCAGATAGGGGAGTGTATTTACGTGCCATTTAAAATGGAAGCTTTGTTGTAGGGAGTGAATCGTGCGGTCATCCAAAGTTAGGTTGAGAGCTAGGGATTTAGTATGGTTGACCTTGATGCCTGAAATTGCCATCAAGTGTGATAGTTTTCTATATAGATTGGGTATTGAGGTGATTAGAGATGTTAGGAGTATTAGGAGACCATCGGCAAATAGAGCGCATTTGTGTTCCTTTTCTCCCTATGGTATAAACTGAATGTTTGTCTGGTTATTCCTTAGTTTAATAGCTAGGGGCTCCAATACCATGGGGGACAGGGGAAGCACAGATTTTTTTTTTATGTTTTTTTTTTTTACTTCTAAATTTTTTTTGTTACTCTTTTTAACTTTTTTTGTAACTTAAAAAACAGTAAACTTTCAAGACTGATTTTAGGATCTTTCAAAATGTGATAGCCAGTTTCTTGACTATCTAACATCTTTCGAGACCCTGTGTAAATGTGTACGCTAAACTGTGCCATGCTGTACCCTTTGCTAATACTCTACTAGTGTGTGTGGTAGCTATGGAATCAGTCCTTGAGGCAGAGACCAGGTTGGTCAGGACAAGAGGGACATAAAAAGTGTATGTGTCACATCTAATACCTGCTACAGACACAACATCTTTTTTGGGGTGACTTTTGGGTTGGGGTACCAAGAAAGGCATCAGAAAAATACCTCTCATGCAGTCAGCTCACTGCATCTGGATTGGGGGTTTGTGCCACAGCACCTTCTGGATACAAAAAGGCCGTGATGATCTCTTCCTGAAATTTTAGGAAGGATCCTCTTTGTTCAGTTGCATTGTACAGAGCCAATTGAAATAAATATGCAGACACTTTTTTTGTACCAGCATCTGGCTTTATGGGAAACTAAGCATGGTTTCATCATCTGGCCATTGAAGTCCACCCCTCCCATGTTAAGATTATAGTCGTGGACACAGAGGGGCTTCTCAAGAACACCAGTTGTGCAAATCTGAACTGTCGTGTCTGCATGA